CCCAGGAGTTGGAGGTTGCTGTGAGCGTGATGCCATGGCACTCTACCCAGGGGGATAGCTTGAGGCTCCGTCTCAAAAAAAAATAAAAATAAAAATAAAAACTTCTATCACCTCAAAGATCTCCCTCCTGGGCTCGGCGCCCATAGTACAGTGGTTACGGCGCCAGCCACATATACCGAGGCTGGCCAGTTTGAGCCTGTCCCAGGCCTGCTAAACAACAATGACAGGTGCAACAAAAAGATAGCCAGGTGTTGTGTTGAGTGCCTGTAGACTCAGCTGCTTGGGAGGCTGAAGCAAGAGAATCCCTTAAGCCCAAGAGTTTGAGGTTGCTGTGAGCTATGACACTATAGCACTTTACCCAGGGTGACATAGTGAGACTCTGTCTCAAAAAAAAAAAAAAAGAAAGAAAAAAGATCTCCCTCATGCTACCTCTTTATACTCACACCCTTTTCTTTTTTATTTCTCGTATAATTATAAAAAGTTTTTTTTAATTAAAAATTTTTTATTCTGCCTGGGCTTGGTGGCTCATGCCTGTAATTCTAGCACTCTGGGAGGCCAAGGTGGGTGGATTGTCTGAGCTCACAGGTTTGAGACCAGCCTGAGCTAGAGTGAGACCTTGTCTCTAAAAATAGCCAGGCGTTATGGTGGGTGCCTATAATCTCAACTATTTAGGAGGCTGAGGCAAGAGGATTTGTTAAGCCCAAGAGTGGGAGGTTTCTGTGAGCTGTGCTGCCATGGCACTCTACCAAGTAGCTGGGACTACAGGTGCCTGCCACAATGCCTGGCTAGTTTTTCTATTATTATTATTATTATTATTATTATTGTAGAGATAGAGTCTCACTTTATTACTCTCGGTAGAGTGCCGTGGCATCACACAGCTCACAGCAACCTCCAGTTCCTGGGCTTAGGTGATTCTTTTGCCTCAGCCTCTCAAGTAGCTGGGACTACCGGCGCCTGCCATAGCACCTGGCTATTTTTTTTGTTGTTGCAGTTTGGCCCAGTGTCAGATTTGAACCCACCACCCTCGGCATATGGGGCCAGTGCCCTACCCACTGAGCCACAGGTGCCGCCCTCGTTTTTCTATTTTTAGTAGAGATGAGGTCTCACTCTTGCTCAGGCTGGTCTCCAAATCCTGAGTTCAGGCAGGAGCCCCATGCCATGCACCCCCGCCCCCAGCCTTCCAGAGACAGAGCCTCCCAATGTGACAAAATCAGACTCTGTCTCCAAAAAAAAAGAGAAATAATTTTGTTATTATTATTTTTTAGAGATAGAATATTGCTCTGTCACCCAGCCTGGAGTGCAGTGGTATGGTTATATGATCATAGCTCACTGCAGCCTCTAATTCCTGGGCTGGATGGATCTTTCTGCCTCAGCCTCCTGAATGACTGGGACTACAGGTATGCCCACCATGCCTGGCTGAAAGATACTTTTGAAAGATACAGCTTTTCTCAATCTCTCAGTTGTGCTTAAGAAGATTAGGAAACATGGATTTGGGGAATATCTACCCTTGTATCTAGAAAAGGTATCCCACATGGGGTGGCAGATGAACTTGTGGCAATTGAAACCACAGTGGGTGAACCCCAAAGAGGATATCAAAACCTAAAGGAAGAGTCCCTTGATGGACTTTGTTTCCTAGGGGTACAGCTTCTGTTTTAAAAGAGTCTCTCTTCCTCTGTAAGGGAAAATAAAGGACACAGAAGACCAGCAATTTCCAGCAAGGAGCTTGTTCTAATTCCAGACATTGTATTCCGCCTGACCTCCAAATACAATTGCTGTTTGCAATTTCTATCTATCTCCCTTGATGTTTAATGTGGAGGCAAATTATTTCTTCTGTCTTAATTGATTGGGACTGAGTGTGAAATATTTTTGGCATAAAATACTCAGGTTTTTCTGGGCATCTGTCTATTTATGGATAAAATGAAAGTATTTCTTCATTTCTCTTAGAAATCAAGAAGACCCTAATACCAGAAAATGGGATAGTTAGAATAAAAATTCACAGAAACTGGGATGAAAGCAAAAAAGTGCTTGAGTACATAATGGAGGGAGAACTCAGGAAAGAGAAATAGGATCCTGAGACTACTGGAGGCTAGTGCTGTTGGGCCTGAGTGGGACTGGAAGAAAATCCAAAAGATTTGGTTTCCTCAGGGAGCCAAGCAGAGGTTGTGGGTCAAGGCTGAACACAAGAAGCTTGATAGCAATGCTCTGAGAGAGGTTTTGGAAATGTTCATCCTAAAAAAGGTTTGAAGGGCGTTTGTTCCTTACTCACAGCATTGGAATCAGCCAGAAATAGGAGGGATGATTTGAGTGAGTGGGGGAGCTTAAATTTGTCCTGGGACCTTGAAAATCATCCTGCTTCTCTGTCCCTGTACCTGTAATGATAGTAGTAGTTTTTTGGTTGCATTATATCAGACTGACAGAAAGGTATGTTGGGAGGGAAAAAAATGGATGATTTCAAGATCATAGTTACAAAGAAGGATGCTTCCAGAAGGATATCTCTTCAGGATAGCTTATAGGGTGACTTGCACTGAGTTCAGCCTGTTGTAGGACTATGGGACTACTCTTCCCATATCCCACAAGCCTGGACCACCCACACATTTGCCTTTTGCACATTTACCATCTATCAAACTGCTTAGTACTGGATCTTCTCTTTACCAAGCTTAAGTTCCATATGACAACTGTCTTGCATGCACCTTCGACCTCCCTGGCCCTTTTATGTGTTTCTTTTTCTTTTTTGGGGGGGAGATAGTTTTTTCTCACTTTGTTGCCCTCTGTAGAGTGCTATGGCATCATCATAGCTCATAGCAACCTCAAACTCTTGGGCTCAAGAGATACTCTTGCCTAAGCCTCCCAATAGCTGGGACTGTAGGTGCCTGCCACAATGCCCAGCTAGTTTTTATTTATTTATTTATTTATTTAGAGACAGAGTCTCACTTTGTCACCCTCGGTAGAGTGCTGTGGCATCACAGCTCATAGCAATCTCCAGCTCTTGGGTTTAGGCGATTCTATTGCCTCAGCCTCCCAAGTAGCTGGGACCACAGGCGCCTGCCACAATGACTGGCTATTTTTTTGCTGTAGTCTGGCCGGGGCTGGGTTCAAACCTGCCACCCTCAGTATATGGGGCTGGTGCCTTACTCACTGAGCCACAGGCGCTGCCCGCCTGGCTAGTTTTTAGAGACAGGGTCTTGCTCTTGCTTAGGCTGGTCTCAAACTCATGAGCTCAAGCAATCCACCCATCTCAGCCTCCCAGAGTGCTATCATTACGGACATGATCCACCATGCCCGGCCTATGGTTTCTTTACTTTACCTTTTTCTTTTTATTTTTGAAACAGGGTCTTGTTTTGTTACTGGGCTAGAGTGCAGTGGCAACCTTGAACTTCTGGGCTGAAGTGCTATAGCGTCATAGCTCACAGCAACTTCAAACTCTTGGGTTTAAGCTTCTCCTGAGTAACTGGCACTATAGGTGTGCACCATTATGCCTGGCTAATTTTTTTTTTTTTTTTGAGATTGAGTCTCACTGTGTTACTCTGGGTAGACTGCTGTGGCATCACAGCTCACAGCAACCTCAAACTCTTAGGCATAAGTGATTCTCTTGCCTCAGCCTCCCAAGTAGCTGGAACTACAGGCACCTACCACAATGCCTGGCTACTTTTTGTTGCAGTTGTCATTGTTGTTTAGCTGGTACTGGCTTAGTTTGAACCTGCCAAGTTTAGTGTATGTGGCTGGCAGCGTAATCACTCTGCTACAGGCACCAAGCCATCAAGAATTTTTTAATTCTACACTGGTCTTCTCTAAGTCAGGCCTGTGCATGTTGGGGGCATGTAAAGTTGTTTAAACAAGTTCAGAATAGTCAGTTGTGCAATCATATAGTGTAAATATTTGCAATGTTTATCCTAAGTTTTGAGTCTCTCTGACCTTCATTTATTTATTTTTTTTTTCTGACCTTTAAATATATATATATATTTTTTTCTTTTTTGAGACAGTCTTGCTCTATCACCCAGGATAGAGAGCTGTGGCATAAGCCTAGCTGGCAGCAACCTCGAACTCCTGGGCTTAAGCAATTCTCCTGCCTCAGCCTCCAAGTATCTGGGACCACAGACACATACTACCATGACTGGCTGATTTTTCTATTTTTAGTAGAGACTGGTTACTGGTTCTTGCTTTGCTCAAGAGGCTGGTCTCAAACTCCTGACCTCAAGGGTCCTCCCACCTTAGCCTCTCAGAGTGGTAGGATTATAGGCATGAGCCACTTTGCCTGGCTATAACTATGTCTTAAAGAATACAAGTGATTAAAAAAAAAAAAAAGAATACAAGTGATTTTAAAAGATTGTAAGTGGTTTAGCACCTGTAGCTCAGCAGCTAGGGTGCCAGCCACATATATTGGAATTGGTGGGTTCAAACCCAGCCTGGGCCTGCCAAACAACAATGACAACTACAATAAAAAAAAATAGCCTGGCTCGGCACCTGTGACTCAAGTGGCTAAGGTGCTGGCCACATATACCTAAGGTGGCAGGTTTGAATCCAGCCCAGGCTCGCCAAACAACAATGATGGCTGCAACCAAAAAATAGCCAGGTGTTGTAGTGGGCACTTGTGGTCCCAGATACTTGGGAGGCAAAGACAAGAGACTCACTTGAGCCCAGGAGTTGGAGGTTGCTGTGAGCTGTGATGCCACAGCACTCTACCCAGGGGAATAGCTTGAGGCTCTGTCTCAAAAAAAAAATAGCCTGTGTTGTGGTGGGCACCTGCAGTCCCAGCTACTTGGGAGGCTGAGGCAAGAGAGTCACTTAAGCCCAAGAGTTCGAGTTTGCTTTGAGCTGTGATGCCACAGCTCTCTACTGAGGGCGACATAGTGAGATTGTCTCAAAACAACAACAACAACAAATATATATATATATATATATATATAGAGAGAGAGAGAGAGAGAGAGAGTAAGCGATTCAACTTGGAAATAAACATTTCATGCCACTCCTCTCTTTTTTTTTTTTGAGACAGAGTCTCACTATGTCATCCTTGGTAGAGTGCCATGGTATCACAGCTCACTGCAACTTCAAACTCTTGGGCTTAAGCAATTATTTTGCCTCAGCCTCCCAAGTAGCTGGGACTACAGGTGCCCACCACAATGCCCGGCTATTTTTTGTTGCAGCTGGCCTGGGCTGGGTTTGAACCTGCCACCCTTGGTGTATGTGGCTGGCGCTATAACCACTGTGCTACGGGCACCAAGCCACCACTCCTGTCTTAAGAAATATTTAGAGATTAGAAGATGAGCTGTTGAAACAGCTACTATATTTACAACAATGTATGTGAAAAAATTAGTATTTTCTTTATATTATACAATTAAAACACATGTGATATTGTTATTCATAACCCTAATTGTAAATGTGTGGTGCATAAACTTCATTGTTCCTGTTGCCTTCCTAAGTAAATACTTTATTTTTTTTTT